ACACACACACACACTGACACACCGACGCTCCGCGCTATTTTTCCAGTGTGTTCAATCTGCTACCTTTCCTATTCCTTTCTCCTGTCATAATGGGATCTCAGAGCAAATGGATTGGTCTGTCTCTCCTGTCTGCTGAAGCTGATTAGAGGGATTTAGGTTTAAAACCTGCTGATGACCTCAGGTTGTAGCCCCGACTTTCTTTTTTTATCTCCTCTGACTTTCCATTTCTCTTTGTTCTTATCATGCCCATTGTCTTTGCCATTCACATTCTCTATTTCCTCTTTCTCTGTCCTCCACACACACACACACCCATCTTTTTAAATTTATTTATTTTTTCTTTTGATTGACAGCTGTCGTTGTTGTTGTCCTGTGACCTCTCTCAAAATGTTCTAATATTAGTGGTTGCGGTTGCCGTGTCGGCCAGTTGACGACTGTTGTAAAGTTGTCAATGTGATAGGGTTGGTGTCCTGTTATGTGATACCCACGTCATAATGCCCAGCTGGCATCACGTGGCTGTCAACATGCCGCACCAAAGCCTTCACTCCATAAACACACACATACACACACTCACAAACACGATTTACATTCATATTCACATAGCATCTTTATACACACACACACGGGACCATATACACACAAATGTTTGTCCATACATTTACGCAGATACACATGTAGATACAGCCTTAAGGAAATGCACACACGCCCACATATATATATATACTAAAGATGATAAGAAGTACACCAAGGGAAAGATTAGCCAGGGATCATTTTAACTGCTGAACAACTGTTAGCCTTGAGAGGTCAGGGTCAAACCAATCCGAGATTGCAAAAGAAAATGTCTCCACACCAACCATTGCACCATTATTTCCTTTTCACTTTCTTCTGACAGTACTGCTCTTGTCATCAGTCAGTCTCGTCTTCGTGTTTTTTTCTCTCTTTCAATCTGAAGCTCCTGAGAGACGCAATTTGAAGCATTGTGAAATCCTTGGGAAACATCTAAATCTCTTTAGACTGTGATCGAAAGCCTTTAAAAGCTGATGGAAAGCTATTGGATTCAGCAGTGAGGGTTCAGCAGTTCAACAGGAAAGGCTTTATGGGCACAGATGGTGAATTCAGAGGAGTTGCAACAAGTGCCGCACAATTTTCACTTTCGATGAAAAACGCTGTTTGATTTTATGAATTACTTTACTTGCCCAAGGTCTTCGAGATGAAGTTTCTTAAAAAACTCCACTGAAACCAAGCAAGCATGTGAAAGTTTAATCTGAGCCACAGTCAACTTGCATATTTTCCCCTCCAAATGATGTGAGGGTCATTTGGACATAGAGACCACAGAATAAGGCAGCGGTCTAACAGCATCTATGTTGAAACGCAAAGAGTAGGAGTGACCCCACAGGCCAAGCAAAGCCACTAGACTGTGCATAGCAGGTGGGTTTATGGATTTATGTGTGTGTGTGTGTTGTGTGACTGTGGTTGTCTATGTGAATATTTGTGTATGTCTCTGTCTGCGTCTGTCTCTGTGTGTGAGTGATTACCCCAGCTGCAGTGAAATAAACACATCAGTGTGTGGTGACAGGCCCTCCACGTGTCTAGCCCTAACACACACACACACACACACATGCACACACACACACAGAGTAACTGGATATGTGTCTGGAGCCTGGTCAAGTTCCTGTCACATTCTTAAGTACTCAATCCGCACCCTAAATTAGTGCAAGTTATTCACATGGATAATGGCTTATGATCAACGTATACATTATCTCAGTGTAATCTTCTACACCAGCAATTATCAGCAAAGTCTGAGACTTAGTTTTTTTTTTTTTTAGTAAAAATATTTCATCACAATACATTTAATGTGACATTTCATTGTTATGTGTAACAAGGTGGCATGGGGAGATTGTCCTTCAAAGATGGGATTTAGATTATCAAATCAGCAAGACACAAATCCTACTGCTAGCTCCAAGGTTGCTGTTATGTTGCAGATCACAGCCAGCAACTGAAAAGAAAAGCTTTACCTTCAGGCAGAACACACACATCGCCCTAACCAAGAAGTAGCTGAGACATTTGTGGTGTACAAATGTGTGTTTGTGTGAATCTAGGAATCACAACCACAGCCCTCTCTCGCACTCACTCACACACACACACA